TTCAGTTTCACTGTCCAAGCTCCATGAAATACAAACAGCAGACGGCAGAAATACTAAACAAGTGTCTGATGATTTAAATTTCCATATTTCTTTCCATTTTGATAGACAAGTAAAGGAACAGTAGTCGTTCCAGATGTACTGTGTTGTTCCTGTAGCATAGGGATAGGTGGGCAAGCAGGACATGATACCTGGACACTGCCTAAGAAGGTGGGTACCTCACCCTTCTGCAGTCTTCTGGCTTCAGCTCCAGCAGCAGCGCAGGAGCCTGAGTGAGGGAAGGGCATCCTGAGAAATGTAGTTCTGTCAAACAGCAGCATACAGCTGTAGAGGGGGAGCAGATGTCATCCTTCCTTTTTTCCACTGAAAACAGGAATTTTGGCCACTCAACAGGAGCATCCATGGCAAAAGAGGTGACATCTCCCTTCAGCAGCAGAGAACTCCAACTGTTGCTTCTTTGCTGCCAGAGCCTCCAGAGCCATAGCCCTGCAAAGACAGTACAGGAGGAAGGGGGAGGGAGGACTGCACCTGGCCAGTCATGCCTCAAGGTTGATTCTCTGTGTATTGGACTGTGCGGATTCCATTCCCATAGGACCACAGACTTTTTGTTCCAGCCTGACTGGGCGCAAATATGAGTCAAGCTATCTTTGTGCGCTGTGCCAAAGTCATAAAGGCACTGGGATATAGCAAAACCCCCCGTTCTTCTTTTTTTTAATTTAAAAATACATTCCCTCCCCTTCCCCTAACCATTTCTGACTTTCTCTCTGCCCTCTCTATCCCTTATAAGTGATTACAAGTAATACTAGGTAAACCAAGATAAGGTCTTATACTCCCTTATAGTAGCAAGCCCCCTTTATATTGTAAATAGTGTTCTATTATGTTTGTATTGCTTTTTACTGTTTTATATTGAATTTATATGATTTAGGCCTGTGTCTGTCAAGTAATGTCAAGTTTCCATTTTGTATGTCAAACCTCCATTTTGTGTCCTCTACCCAGGTATAACCTATTGTATATTATGTTGTAACTGCGACTCACGTCTAACCAGTCTCATGTACATTGGCTCCTGAATGAATGGGAATGAATGAGGGTGCTTGAGGTACAATGGTAGCAGGCCTTTACTGAACGATCAACTCAATGACCAGACCATCAACTCAACGACTGGACCATTGCCTTGCATTGACTCACCCAGGAGCCACAGACCTCACCCAGGAACAAGGACAAAATCCAGCATTTGAAAGATAAAGAACCTACAGAAACCAGTAACCCCACCATTGTGTCCCACCAGACAATGAGGACACCTGGATCTGCATGTATGCATCTGAGCAGGACTGTCCTTGACTGGACATGTCCTTCCCATACTAGACACAGGTAGCCCACCCCTAAGATGTGTGATCTCTTTGGGATGCCCTCTCCATCTGGACAAGCACTACGCCATGCCACCTATCCACCCAGAGGCCCTGCTGGCGACCCTCCTCTGGACAATACCTTGCTGGAGAAGATCCCAACTGGCCATCAAGGATCAACTCTGAGCCTGGGATAGGTAGCTATCACCCACCTTCTTCCCCCAAGTAAGGGACCTGAACTCTGTCTCTATATACCTGGACCTCAAATCCCTCCATTAAGCCTTTCCTCTCCTGCTACCATATTTGTTGTGTGCATGTGTGCGCGCATGTGCGTGTACGTGTGTGCGCATGTGTGTGAGTGCGCATATGTGTGCGCATGTGTGCACACGAGAGAGAGAGAACCAATGACTTCATGGGGCTGTGTAGTGTGTTTCCTGTTTAATAAAACTGTTATTTGGAACCCTGAGTTGGGCTTTTGTCTTACTGACCTCCTGGCCCTGCTCCAATCTCTGCTCTCTGACCTTCGTTCTGTCTCTCTTGCTTTCTGTCACCTCCCAAACCCTGGCTTTTTCCCTCGTTTCCACCCCAGCACCCAGTGACCCCCAAGTAACCCCGGGGCACTGAGTGATTCTAAGTAACCCCGGGGCACATTGACCCCGAGTAACCCCAGGGGCCACTTGACCCCGAGTAACCCCAAGCACCAAGTTACCCAAATGCCCCCTAGTGTTAACACACAGCCATGAAAGTGTTTGTTTGTGTGTTTATGTGTGTGAACTCATAGTGGTGTTTGTGTGTGTGTGTGTGTGTGTGTGTGTGTGTAATTTTGTATCACACCCTCCTGTCTAACAGCACAATATTGGGAACCCGAGTGTTGATCTGGCATGTGTCAAGTCAACAGGGGAACCAACCACCATTCCAGTTCCTTCCTTACTGTGGTGTCCCCAAGCACAGGAATCTGAAGTGGAGGGGTAACAGGGAAGGTAAAAACAGGGGCAGTCTCAACTTCAGTTACTGTACTGGTAAGTAACTCTTCTTTATTTTCCAACTGTTAGTTCTTGTACAAATTCCACTGGGAGATGCCTACCAACAGCTTAATAGTTAAGTGGGTAAGGAGGGCTGCCTTCACTAAAGATAAAAGCAAAAAGAGAGTTGCCTATACTACTGAAAATCATTTGTAGAGGTACACATAGTATTCTGTCATGGTCTTGCAGATAGACACATTATGAAGTGAACTGAAGCCTTGGGCTTTGGTAGAATGTGCTCTCACATTTGCTGGCTTTGGTATCGGAGTCAACCAAGAGTGAAGTTGGATACATCCAGGGCATCTCCCTGAAATGGCATCTCTTCCCATTCCCTCAGGAAAGTCGACAAGCAGTGTAGGAGATCATTTGAAGGTCTTTGTCCTATGCAAGTGAAAGGGCAAGACCTTTCTGATATCTGAAAAATTCAGTTCACAGTAGTGAGATTTGGGAAAGAAAACAAGCAATGAATTACTTGATTAATATGAAGCTTAGACTATTCTAAGAACAAAGAACAGTTGACACAAGAGCTTTTACTCCAACCTCTTTTTCAACTGTCGTTATGGCCATAATAAGGCCATCTTCATGGAAAGATAGAGAAATGCATGTGAGACCAGCATGTGAGCTTAAATGAATGCTTCTTGTAAGCCAAGATCCCACAATGGCATTGGTCTGAATATTGGTGAGAAGACATGTGAGACTTTTTAGAAACTGCATCATGCCTAGTTATAAGAATACTGTGAAGGTATCTCTAGGAGAGGGGAAAAGGCACAAACCAATGCCAAGTGCTGTCTCTGAGAATTAAGAGAGAGCCTATAGTCCACTATTGTCTGGTGACTGTAGAGAACATGTATGACATTGATAGTGCCACACTTTTTTACTGGACATGTATGCTTTTCTTACAGGCTAAGTACAGACATTCAGAAAGCCTAAGGCCAATTCAATCTTTGCCGGTTAGTCTAAACTGTGTAGATTGAACCAATAAACACGTGAATGGGCATTCATTTCTGATTGTGGAAATGCAGCCACATGCCTGCAGCAGCCAAGGCCAGAAGCTAGGGGGTGCTAGAGTATGCCTCCCTGCTCTGCTGGAGCAGACAGTTTGGGTCAAGTCTAGCCTGCCCATCCTGTGCGGGAAGGTTTGTGTGGGAGTGAAAAAGCATCCTGCAATGCTGGGGGACTTAGTTAACTTGAATCTGGAGGGGACTGGGGACAGAAGTTCAATAAACTGATTTAACCTAAATCAATTAAGTCTGATACTACATCCATCCAGGTTTATCTCAGACCAGTTTTGGCCATTTTGAAAGCAGTTTATGTTTACTGAACTTCTGTTGTGTTACAGATTTGAACCGGTTTCTGATCATTTATACTGGTTTATTTTAATTTCTGTCCCAAGCCATGGACACCTTCTTGATACTCAACACAATAGACCAAACTTGCACTGAACACACACTAAGTCCAACATCCATCCAAACACCATGTTGCTAAATGAAGGAAAGGCAAACCGAAGTTACTCAAAGGAGCAATTTGATAAGAGATCAGAGAGGTTTAAAACGAAACAGGATCCTTTTCCTGTTAACGAACATAACCTACTTTACGGTACGTATTAACAGGACATATAAAATTTAGCTTTAGTTCACCTCAGGACATGCTATAAACATATAAAGCAACTCCCTTTCAACCACTCCACCTCCTAGAGCTTTACTTAGTTCATTTACATTGTTTTTATCAGTTCTTTTTTGTGGGAAGAGAAAGTGCAGCACCAGCATTGCACTGATGAACTGACCCTTCAGTATTGCTTCCTTAGTTTTCCCACATTTTCCTACTGGGTACTAGGCTGAAGAGCCAGTTATTGATGCATTGCCATTCATGACACTGTTATAAATTGTGCCTGTTGTATCAGGCAAATAAAACTGTAATCGGTTGCATGCCGAAGATATTTAATGGCCTGAGCTTTTTCATATACCTCTAAACAAGAAGGAAAACACCATTTTTAATTATTCATGACCACTTAGAAAATGGCATCTCTTCATTCAGACATGACTTGCTTTTTTGCACCTTTTCTTTCTGGCAATGTTATATTAAGCCACAGTCTTTGCAATAATATTATTGTGCTAATTAATCTAATTAAGTGGTTTATGTAATTCTGGAGAATAGAGTGAGCTTCTCATGATTGTCATCATTAGGTTAAAGAGCTGACAATTGATGGAGATAATTTTTCCTTACCAGGCTGTAACCTTTCCCAAGGCAACCCCCCAGGGGAGCTCTTCAATTAAATCTATAATAATGCTTGGAGGGTAAAAGAAGAAATTTGCTTTTTAAAACTTATGTAAACAGATCTTCAGTAGCTTTGTGCTTTTTGTTGCTTTGCTAGGAAAGAAAAAGCAGTGGCTGCTTATTAGTGCCCGCTGCGCTCAGCTTTGATAAGCCTGAATTTTTCTGGTGGTAGCTATTCTTAGCGGGGTGCACTAAAGGTTGGGAGGTGGCTGTTTGAAGGCATCAAGTGAGGTCGACTGAGCCATTGCTACGATAATACAGCACTTGGATCAGGCAAATGACAGGTCAACAAGTACTTGGAGAGGCTCCTAGGGAGGTAGGGGAAGTTTATTTTAAACTGCTGCTATTGAGTTATTTTTAGGTCAGGACACCGAAGGGCTGACAAGAGGGAGATAAATGTAAGTTAGGGAGTGGGTATGAAAGCCTGCTATTGAAAAAGTTGCCATCAGAATGTGGGAGCTCACATGGGGGGTTATGTATTTATTTTTTTAAACCATGGGTAACTACACTCCCGCTCAGACAGATCAAAGCCAGCTTGAACCACCTAGCTCTGGTGCCGGTAGCAGAATAGCAGTAGGAGCAGAGATCTCAATGTGGATTAAGTATCCACATATGTTCTACAAGCTGTATCCTGGTTTTGCTGGTCTGCTCAACCTCCTTTCTGTAGCTTAGTTATGGCTACAGACACTGCTTGGGATTGCAAGTGTACAATCAAATTCCTTGGGAGACGTTTTCCAGTGACCCCAATGGATTTTGTATCAGGGCTTCGGTCCTGTTTCTTGTATTAATTCCAGCAGTGCTTGCCAAAGGCACAGTGTTATAATAGATTTCTACTTACTTTTGCAGGCAGCTGGGTGCCTAATTGTCCTTTGAACCTTAGAAAACCCCACCTCTTTTCCCCAAGCATTGCTCCATTCCTTTGGCTTATTAATAGAAGATTAAGAATTCAGTCACAAGTGTGACCTTTCCCATTTGCAGGGGATTGGGTTTCTTTCTCCCTTACAGGACCTCACATTGTGGATTGAGTGCAAGTCTGGTGGTTCCTCGTTTTATGTCAAATCTGCCCCCATATGCAGGAAAAGAAGATGCAACTGTCCAATGACACAAATAATCATTCAAGGTATATATATTTTCTGAATATTAAATCTCTCAGTCTAGTGGTGACAGAGGTTATTTAACTTCTAATTTTAGAAACCATTCTGGTCATCCATAAACTGCTAGCATAATTATAGACTAGGTCACTCAGACAGAGAGAGAAAGGAAACTGAAATGTGTGGTTATATGTTGTAGTGCTAGTGAAGAGTGAATCTCAAATATATAGGCCTAATCTTGAGAAATATTTACATTTTGAATCAATACAAATTCCCATATCAAGGCAAGGATTACTTTTAATTCATCTGCACTATTTTGCCAGTCTCTAATTATCACTTGTCGTTCATTAACAACAAGTACATAGCCAGTTGCACACAGACACCATTGTTTAAAGGTAGCCCACTGTAAGGTGGAAGGCAACTTACCCCTTGCTCAGGTGACTACAAAATCCACTGGGCAATGAGAAAGGAAGACTTACTTAAAAAACAGTGAAAAAACAAAATTTTGCATATGGAGCTTCCTGCCCTGATCCATTACACAAGTTTCCATAAAGCTCTTCAACCCAATAATATTCTTCATTCCTCAAACTGTGGCTTTTAAATGTTAATGGATAACACAAACCTAGGAAGATACCATAGATTCCTCATTCATTTCTCAAGTCAGAACATGTTGTTTAATGGTATAGAAGCTAAATACATTTGTTTTCTTGCACCAGTCACAACATACGTTTTTCTTGAAATTACTTTTCATAGGCTCCTGAAGCTAGACTTACAGAACAACATGGAGGAAGAAGGCTGCATATTTTCTTAATTTAAAAAAAAAAAATGGTATCTGGGGTGAGGGTGGGGGGAAGTGGTTGTCAGTTTTGCTCAAGTCTTTACTTTTCCCCATCTCTCCATTACTAAGTCGAAGTTTTCATTATACAGATGCAAGTGCCAGGGCATTGCAGAGGAAGTGCCATAGTAAATCTGATTATACCATGAAAGGAGGCAATTGCATAATGCTATTTCTATGACATGGCTATAAATCAAGAGACTTTGTACATAAAATGAAACCTGCTCAGATAAGACTGGGGAGAGAGGAGGGAGAATATATTGTTTTAGTATTGTTGATCTTGTGTGCAATAAGTTTCAAGACATATGTGATGAGGAACTGTCGTGGGGGTCAGAAGTACAGCTACCTTAATAGCATTAAACAGAATGATTAGTTCTCAGACTGAAGTCTTAGGGTTAAGAAATATGACAGACCAGCATAAAACAACATCCCTGAAGTCTAAGTAGATACAATTTTTCCTATTCGTCTTTCATAGTCCAGTGCTCCACATTACTTTCCTTTGAAGAAACACAAAATGCCGTAAGTCAGAGCTTGACAGCTGCTACTGCAGTGATTTATATACCTACTTGTCTGTAGTAGATGGACTATGGAAAAAGGACAGCTCTAACACAGACTGAGCAAATTACTGAAATTCAAAAGTCCAGGGTAAAGGATAGCTTTGCCCAATGAACTATGTAAATTTTCCAAGTTCTGGAAAAGCTTGAAGAGGCAGGGGCTGGGGGCAGGAGGGGGAGCATCATTAACTTTCCCCTCTGTACAACAGGAATGAACATACAAATCCCATCTTCCCAGTATGTTGAGAGCCAAAAGTGAAAAAAATCACAAAAATAAAATGTCAGTGTTAAAGAAGGGTAGTGGAGTCTCTACATTTTGATGCTAAAATAAAATCATATTGATTATTACTACAGCTTTCCATTCTGATTTTATTTTGACAAATGGAAGTTGGGGATATTAAGAAGGTAGACCTAAATTGATACAGCACTTAGAAGTATAAACTTTTAATATTTTGTCATTTTTTTGTGTTAAAGATCCAAGTGCATGGACAATTTTGTGTTAGGGGGAACAGGTTAAGGGGCAACATAAATTGGGTTAAATGACACTGGCTTGACATTAACCTCCCACCCCCTGCCTCTCTTGAATGCATATGGAAATCTTGAGGAACTAGATAGATGTTAATGCAATTTCTGCAGGCTGAGTTCCAGTCTAATATATCATTTGTAAAGGAATAGAACTTTTGGTAGTTAGGAGCCAATGTCAGTCAAAATTAAATTAGAACCCATTTAGGTATTGTACATTGTGAATTACATGGACAAACAAGTGTAGCTGGCTTGTACTTTAATATAGCATGCTTACTGATGTTTAGTTTCTGTGACGACTACAATTCAATCAGTTAAAATTTGTCTCGAGTATGGATTAGTGGATTTTTTCTTTTATTTATGCAGACATCTTTTTTCTTCTTTTATATATGCAGACATCTTCAAGTATGGTATAAATAAGAGATGATCAATCATAAAGTATATGCTACTACAGACTGTTTATAAGTTTCTGTCTCTACAGCAACATGAATGAAGCAAAGATTGCGAACAAAAGCTCCTTTAAAAAACAATTGCACATGAATTAAGCATTATGAATGTAAAGGACACAATACATACAGCTGGCAGGCAACCTTCCCACATGGTTTTGCACCTTGGTTCTGGCCCCCATCATACTAGCTCAGCAAAGATTGCAAAAACACTGCCTTATTTACCGTGTGCACCAAGGAGTTCTGTTCATATCAAAAGAACCATGCACATAAACAAAACGTACAGTCCATAACTGTCTTTATTTATATCACCTGCTGTCCACAAGAAGCCATGAAACTGAGAGGAAGTCAGTGAATGATATAATTTTAACCCTATTCATAACCTTTTTCAAGATAAATGTGTTTAAGGAAGTATGCACACAGAACTACAGTGCCATTAGGGTCCCCCCACCCTGCTCTCCCCTCTCCCACCATATGTAAAATTAAGGAAATCTCCATAAATTACTGTGGGTAAGTAATTTGCATCATACAAAGAGGTAATTCTGTTCTCAGTTATACTATGTAACCTCACTAAAATCATTAATGTTGCCTGGGTAACCAAGGGCAGATGGTATATCAGTATGTGTCAGATCACCTAGTGTTTTGGGATTCCGGTAGTATCAAAATGCTATGGGCCAAATTCTAAGGATTTTATTCAGTCCTTACTCAAAGTCCCAAAATAAAAACTGAGTAAGGAACAAAGAATTTGGCTCATTGCAAATGATGGCAGAACTAAAGCCCTAATTCTGGTGGTACACTACATCTCCATTTCAGCAAAGCAGAAATGAAATCTGCTTAAGTTCCATGTGAAAATAAATGCAGTGGTGCTCGCACGTCATCCCTGTGCTGCAATTGTTGTGACAGCCAGATATCCTACTGGGACTATTACAAGACACTCTCTGGTATGAGGCTGCATTAGATTCTTTTGGAATCAACTGGGGATAGTACATAACTTGCTTCTGGTCACATCACATAGCATGCTTTATGCTAAAAGCAATATGAACAGATGGGATGGATGGAATGGGAGTGTAGAGAGAGCTCCTCCAGAATGTACGCATTGGAGACTAGTGCCCAAGGTACAGAATAGGGTGAATTTTAAAAAAGCACAGAAAAATTGACAGACACAGTTGAACTTGAAAAATCTGACTGCTTTAAATACAAGTATAAACCAAAAAGGGCACAGGCAGAGGTGGATTCAGAGGGGATGCAGTGGTGTGGATGCACCCTCCTTTGGTTCCTGCTCCACTCTGCAGGCTCCCTGTGGGAACCTGACTGTCCAGCACAGTGTCAGAATGGGCTGGAAGGAGAGGAAAGAGCAGAGAAACTGTAGGGAGGGGCAGGCAGAGTGTGTAAGTGGACAGGGCAGTGATTCTCAACCCCCAGGGAGGGGACAATGGGAAGGGCAACTACTGGGATACAAGTCCCTGGAGGAGTGGCTCTGGCAGTAGAGGCTGTGCTTGCTGCCCCAGATACAGACTGGAGAAGAGTCCCTCTCTGTGAGCCTCGTATTCTGCTGCCCCAACCCCTCTACTCTCCTTCCATGCTCCTCATGTGCCATGTGTGTGCATCCCTGCACCTCATCCCTGTCAGGCGGGTGTCCTCAGACTCTGTCCATTGTGGCCCTGGAGCTGGAGTTCAGGGGGAATTGTCCCAGGGATAAATAAAGCCAGGAACTACATGGCCGGTTCCCAGTTCCCAGCTGTGATCTGGACCCATGTTCAGGTGTCATGCTGACAGCAAACACGTACAGAGCCAGGTAGATCTGGGGAAGCTGTCTGAAGGGTTGACCATTTTACTTATCTAACACTATAATATAGTGGTACACATAATTAATAGCACAGTTAATAATGTCATGTGCATATTCTAATATCTATACTATATTTCTGTTCTTTTTTGAAATGCAGTGCCACTAAAATCTGAAATACTGCAGGCCTGGCTGCTAAGCTACTGTGTTACCAGTTACCAATCAATCATGATTCACTCAGGGACCAGCTCAATACGCAGTTGCTAGCTAATGTAACCAGTTAATTAGCAACAATTAATATCTACAAAACCACATACTAATGAGAGAAAAGAATCAATAAAGACAATCAACTTCCCCAAGACAGAGACAGTCAGTTGCACAAGCACCCATGTCACGACTTTTGCCTGGCAGCAGCTAGAGGTGCAGGGCCCCAGAATACAGAAGCCCTGCACCCATCTCCTTGACAGCTGGCAGGCTCCATGGCCTGAGCAGGGGCTGCCACCTCTGCAGTTTTCAGCCTGCTGCGTCTTAACACACATAGGGCCATCTATGTTACGAGTTTTGCCTGTCAGCAGCTTGAGGTGCAGCTCCCCCCAAACCCCTTCACTGATCTTAAAACTTGGCAGGCACCATGTTCTCAGCAGAGGCTACCACCTCTGCAAGTTTCATCCAAATCAGACAAAAAGCAAAGTTATAGATATTTAATTGATTCCCCAATATACCCTATGGCCGGATCTCCAAGGCGGCTCTGAAGCTTCGGAGCTGCTTTAGCCGGATCGGGTCCCTGGCATCCGAAGCGGCTGGATCCGAAGCCGGATCAAAATAGCTGCCTACTTGCACAGGCCTAATAGTTTGTTCTTCACTACAAGACAGCAACATGAAAAAAATAAAAGATCTATTCCTTTCCTACTCAGAGGGTTTAACAAAAAATTAAGGCACTATAAAGGGCACAAATTCAGGGAGTCAGATAATGATGGGAAAAGACACATTCTGTAGCGGATTCCAACCTCAGAGAAAACGAACAAGAGTTGACTTTCCCAGGGTATTTGGCAAATCAGCAATTTGTCTGTGCGGGCTGGGAGCGACCCGAGCCCTTTTCTGTGCTGCACG